GTCCGTCCGTGTCTGTGTGTCTGTCTGTCCGTGTCTGTGTGTCTGTCCGTCTGTCTCCTTGTCCGTCTGTCTGTCCATGTCCGTCCGTCCGTGTCTGTGTGTCTGTCCGTCTGTCTCCTTGTCCGTTTGTCTGTCCATGTCCGTCTGTCTGTGTCTGTGTGTCTGTCTGTCTGTCTGTCCATCTGTCCCCGTGTCCGTCCGTCCGTGTCTGTGTGTCTGTCTCCTTGTCCGTCTGTCCCTGCTCGTGTCTGTCTGTCCCTGTGTCTGTGTGTCTGTCTGTGTCCGTCTGTCCCCGTGTCCGTCCGTCCGTGTCTGTGTGTCTGTCCGTCTGTCTCCTTGTCCGTCTGTCTGTCCATGTCCGTCCGTCCGTGTCTGTCTGTGTCTGTCCGTCCGTCCCTCTTTGCGTCCGTCCGTCCGTCCCTGCCCGCGTCCGTCCGTCTGTCCATGTCCGTCCGTCCGTGTCTGTCTGTGTCCGTCCGTCCGTCCCTCTTTGCGTCCGTCCGTCCGTCCCTGCCCGTGTCCGTCCGTCCGTCCGTCCTCACCCAGGATGCCCAGGCGGTAGTTGAGGGTGATGACGATGACGTTGCCGTAGCTCGCCAACACACTCCCGTCGATCATGTTCCCCGTCCCCTCCATGTACGAGCCGCCGTGGATGTACACCATGACCGGCCGGCGGGCGCCCGGCTCGTGGACGTCTGCGAGCGAGAGAGAGAGAGAGAGAGAGGGGGGGGGTCAGCGCGAGACCAACAATAGCGACAGCAACAGTAACAGTAACAACAACAATCATAACAAAAACAAGAACAGTAACATCAATAACAAGAACAGTAATAGTAATGAAAACAATAACGACGGCAACAGTAACAACAATAATCATAACAAAAACAAGAAGTGTTAGTCATGAAAACAATCACGACGGCAGTAACAGTAACAACATCCATAACAGTAACAACATCATCAACAACAATAACAGTAACAACAACAAAAATAACAGTAATAGTAACATTAACAATCACAATCACAGTAACATCAATAACAAGAACAGTCATAGTAATACCAACAATAACAACAACAGTAACAGTAACAACATCATCAACAACAATAGTAATAGTAACTTCAGTAACAATCACATTAATAGTAATAACAATAACAATCACAGTCACATCAATAACAATAACATCAATAACAATAACACTAACATCAACAACAATAACAGTAATACTAACAACATCAACAACAGTAATAGTAACAATAACATCAATAACAATAACAATAACAGTAACATCAATAACAATAACAACAACATCAATAACAGTAACATCAATAACAATAACACCAATAACAATAACAATAACATCAATAACAATAACAGTCACATCAATAACAATAAGAGTAACATCAATAACAATAACAATAACATCAATAACAATAACAATAACATCAATAACAACAACAGTAACATCAAAAACAATAACAGTAATAGTAACAACATCAATAACTGTAAGAGTAACAATAACAATAACAGTAACACCAACAATAACGACGGCAACAGTAACAGTAACAACCACAAAAACAAGAACAGTAACAGTAATGTCAACAATAACGACGGCAGTAACAGTAACAACATCAACAGTAACAACAATACCAGTAATAGTAACTTCAATAACAGTAACATCAATAACAATAATAACAGTAACATCAATAACAATAACATCAATAACAATAACAATAATAGTAACATCAATAACAATAATACCAACACCAACATCAACAATAAGAGTAAGAGTAACAACATCAATAACTGTAATAGTAACACCATCAACAACAACAATAACAATAATAGTAACAACATCAACAACAGTAAGAGTAACAATAACAATAACAGTAACATCAAGAACAAGAACAGTAATAGTCATACCAACAATAACGACGGCAACAGTAACAGTAACGACCACAAAAACAAGAACAGTCATCGTAATGTGAACAATCACGACGGCAGTAACAGTAACAACATCATCAACAACAATAACAGTAACACCAACAACAATAACAATAACAGTAACATCAATAACAGTAACATCAACAACAATAATATCAATAACAATAACATCAATAACAATAACATCAACAACAATAACAATAACAGTAACATCAACAACAATAACAATAACAGTAACATCAACAACAATAACAATCACATCAATAACAATAACAGTCACATCAACAATAACAGTAATAGTAACAACATCAATAACAGTAATAGTAACAACAACACTAACAACAATAACAGTAACAACATCAACAACAATAACAGTAACAGTAATAACAACAGTAACAGTAATAGTAACAGCATCAACAGTAACAACAACAGTAATAGTAACAATAACAACAATAACAGTAACAACAACATCAACAGTAACAGTAACACCATCAACAACAACAATAACAGTAATAGTAACAACATCCACTGTCTTAATAATAACAACAACAACAGTAATAGTAACATCAACAACAACAATCAGAGTAATAGTAACAACATCAACAACAACAATGACAGTAACAACATCCACGGTATTGATATCAACGTCAACAATAACAGTAATAGTAATAACAACAGTAATAGTAACAATAACAACAATAACAGTAACAACATCAACAACAGTAACAGTAATAGTAACATCAACAGTAACAACAACAATAACAGTAATAGTAATAACAACAACAGTAACAGAATTAGTAACAACATCCACAGTAACAACAACAATATCAGTAATAGTAACAATAACAACAATAACAATAACAGTAACCAGAACATCAACAACAGTAATAGTAACATCATCAAC